GTGACAAGAGAATTGAGCTCTAAACCACAGCTTCTGCATCAGCTGGCACTCTGGGCCGCTTGGTGCACAGCTGATTAGAATCATATAATCAGGTGAAAAAGGTTTCACAATGGCCCTAAATGTGGTTGCTATCAGAAAGAGGCTCAGAGGGATAAAGATCAATTACTTTTAAGTAACATTCAGTGAGATACGTTAATATTTCCATCAAGATAGGGAGAGGAAAGTAAGTCTGAGGAAGCAGAGGCAGGATTTAAAAAATGAATACAGCAGCACTTTCCATGATAAACTTTTCTGGAGAAAGAAAACACTGGAAATAAAATAAGACAGCATCTGTAAATAATTGCATTGAGTATTAAGCTTTCCTTAAAAGAGAACACAGAACTATGAAAGTTTAAATAAACATTACAAAACAAAAATATTGGACACAAAAATGCCTTGTCCTAGGATGCCCTACTTCAATGAAAATATTCTTCCATACTTTCTTTTTATTGTGCCACCTGCCTGTTGCCATCTGTTTTTTCTTGTCCCACTACTATATTTTTAAGGTCACTGGGCAGAAGAGGACACTTTTTTCATTGTGTGTATCATGTCAGATTTTAAAAAAAAATTTAAAAAAAAGAGACTCAAGTGTCCAAAGTAGACTTGTTGATTAGGCACTTCCATCCTAAAAATGCAATGTAAAAAATCATCACTTTCTGCCTGAATCTAAAGATATGCGATATAGACATGTTGCTTTGACTTTCAAATTCTCTAGACATTTTGCATTATCTAATCCTTGTTGGGATTAGGTATTTTGGCATTGCTTTGCCTGTCTCTCCAAGAGGGCCCACTTAACAATGTTCTTGGAGTGCACATGCTACAAAGTCAGGCATATATAAATTGCCATTTTGTGAATTCAGGCAATGATTCATATTTTCATTACTTTCAGGTATGGAAAAATAAGTAGAAAAGGTAGTTCTGAAGGCAACAGTGGCATATTTACCTACAGGCATATCCTGGTTTCAGCTGGGATAGAGTTAACTGTCTTCCTAGTAGCTAGTACAGTGCTATGTTTTGAGTTCAGTATGTGAAGAATGTTGATAACACTGATGTTTTCAGTTGTTGCTCAGTAGTGTTTAGACTAGAGTCAAGGATTTTTCAGCTTCTCATGCCCAGCCAGGGCACCTGACCCAAAGTGGCCAACAGTGTATTCCATACCATGTGACGTCCCATCTAGTTTAGGAACTGGGAAGTGGGGGCAGGGATTCGCCCCTCGGAGACTGGCTGGGTGTCGGTCGGCAGGTGGTGAGCAATTGCCCTGCGCATCATTTGTACATTTCAATCCTTTTATTACTACTGTTGTCATTTTATTAGTGTTATCATTATCATTATTAGTTTCTTCTTTTCTGTTCTATTAAACCGTTCTTATCTCAACCCAGGAGTTTTACTTCTTCTCCTGATTTTCTCCCCCATCCCACTGGATGGGGGGGGAGTAAGTGAGCGGCTGCGTGGTGCTTAGCTGCTGGCTGGGGTTAAACCACGACAAGGCACCTTTCATGTAAACAGGTCCTCAAGTTTAGGCTCAGAGGAATGTCTAAAAAGGACCAACGTGCAAGAGTGATGCTGCTTGTTGCATGCATCAAGAATAATGTTGAGAATGTTCTGCTACACCATATGGACAGGACAGATGCTCTGGTAAAGGAAATGCCAGAGGCCACATTACCATTCCTCTGTTTTCTTCCCCTACTCTTCCTCTCACACTTGCTCTCTACTCCCAAAATACCTATAACTCATTGACTTCTTCAGATATGATGGAAGGCAAAATTCTGGGTGCAACTGTAAAAGCCACAAAACCAGTATTTTAGGTAGCAACAGAAGCAGCTAACTGGAGTTCACACTATTTCCAAGGGCTTGTTAAAGCCATACAACCCTGCTTAGTTTGGAAGCAGATAAACTGTATGAAAATGTGGCTGTAATAGTCATGTTCACCCAGGAAGCAAAATATACTGCTAAAGGCATTCTTAGACTGGTTTAATTGCGTCCATACTCAGAACTGGATTCGTAAAAATATTTCTACATAGCAGTAGGAAAAAAAAAATTTACAGACAAATACTTTGTACTGGCATCACTTCAGAACAAATCAAGCCTCCGCGTACATAGAGTCTATCTGCCACCTCATTGATAGGAAAAAGATTGTCCTACACTGAAAGGTCACTGGATGTCAGCAAAGATCTCAAAGCTGCAAAGTAAGTCCAGCATGACCATTTCTCCACACACTGTTGTTCTCTCATCCTCAGGGCACCAGTGGTATTGTTACTACCAGACTGATCTTTCCGACTATCTACCACTGAATTTTCCAAACTGTAATGCTTGCCTTTACAACACAGGACCAGGCAGTTCACAAAATAATGCTAGAATACATAATATATTCTAACACAAATAAAAATGTCATATACAGGTGTCCAGTAAACGCAGTCAGTTTAGAGACCATCAGAAAAGTGCCAAACGTATATATATTTAGAAGTCAAGCATGTGTCTGGCCTCAAAGGTTACCTTACAATTTGAATCATAATTCCAATGAAATAAATGGCATTATTCCAAAATCATCATGGTTTATCAGATAAGCGGATGGTTACCCAACACAACATGGGATGAGATGTTTACTGAAGATGTGTCTTAGTCTCAAAGAAAAACCTAGGGGAAGTACAAAAGCCTATAAAATACTTTTTATTTTAAAGTAGTTTTTGCTTTCTGGCAGACAAAAGTGGATGAAAGTATGTGATAGGACAGATATATCTTTTATTATATCAAAAAAATTATTCTTCTTTATTCTGCTTTTCCCTAGAAAATTCAAGAGAGGTAGTCAAATTATAACATCCAGCTTAACGTGAGATTAACTAGAATTTCAAAATTGTGTTGAAATTGTTGAAGGTGCTTGGACTTTTATTCGATAGTTCTTTAACTGAAAATCAAACGTTATTCAAAGCAAAAGTCTTTTTTTAAAAAAAGATTAATCATCCTTGTTTCTCATTTAAAGTCTAGGGATGTAGCCAATCTTCTCTCTGTGTTCTCAAAGGGAGACATCTCATATTAAAAAGAAATAACAAAATTGCTCTCATCTTCTTTATACGTTGTCATGGAAGACAAGTCATCACAAGAAAAAAATTTAATGTTTCACATTTCTTTGGGTTACTTTTCAGCAATAACAGTAATGCTAAAATTTTTCTGGCGCCAACACAGAGTCTGATCTCTTGATGGTTTAACCATGGAAAGTGCATCCTACAAAGGTGTTCTTGTAATGCTACTTGGGGGGAAGAAGAAATTGAAAAGAAATTGTGCAGCAAATGAGAGAAAAAACAATATTTTATTACTCCTGCATTTTCTGATTTCCTTTGCAACCTAACATCTCTAATTAAACTCATTGTAAGTTTGGAAGCCTAGTAAATCCAGGAACTTGCTTGTGAAGTGGCATATCAAACCTCTGAGCAGCTCCTGTTCCATAGCTCTGGATTTAATAGTTTCCTTTAATAGCTTGTGTAGCTAGAAGCATTTTTGCCAATATGACTGATTTAGTACTAGCCTCAGAGCCTCCCTTCAAGCCTCACTCAAAGCTCATGATTAGTTGATGCTGGTAGCAATATAAGTGGTCTCCATGGATTCTTGAAATAAAACATTTTACGAGTCTCATCTTTACATTTGATAGGTATCAAATCTTCTCTTACATAAAACACTAAAATTTATAAGGGAATTTGCCCGTTAAGGGTTACTGGATTTGGAAAAGAAAAAACAAAACAAAACAAAACAAAAAAACACAACAAAAAAAGAGGCTCAGTAGATATAAAGAACCCTGTGGGTTAAGTGTGGATGTACCGCTCATTGCAAATGTTGCCTGACATGCTTCATTCTTCCGTAGATGGGCTGTAGGAATATGTTTGGGTTTTGTAAGCAAAACAAACTGAAACAGTGGATTCCTTATAAATTATGTGCATTATTTGTTGATGTATTTGTTAAACCTGTGGAGAGATTATAAGATTTCAAAATAGGACTGTCCTCTTGCCGTACGTTTGTACAGTGCCTAGTTCAAAGGAACGGTGATCGGATGACACTAATGCACAAATATTTGTATTGTTTCTGTTTCCTTGACTGCATAAGAAACTCTGATAAAGAAGATGGTAGAATGATTCACTTAGTAGCTGAGTAGAGAACTTTTTTGTAAAGAATAGTTAGATGTTTGGGATGAAGATATGTTAAAAAAAATTTCCTCAGGAAATCTAATTGAATAAAATGTTCCCTACAACTTAAGTTATTTTTCTACCCATGGCAAGACCTTCTGTCTTAAATTTAGTTTTCACTAATTACATTCACATGAACTGTACACATATGCTGCAAAGTATGCCACCAAATCATTCTATTTAATAGCCTCTGTACTCGGGCTCTAAAAGGAGTTTTGCAGGCTCTTTGACAGGAAAGAGACAATAATCCAATAGCTTCATCACTTTGAACTATATAACTAGGGATTTGGGAAAAAGCCCATATTAGAGCTTAAAAATAAAGTACTAAGACTGCAAGTAAAAAATACATTTACTGACAGTGCTGCTCTCCAGCCAATGCCTTTTCCCAAAATATTGTAAATTAACAGTACCTTTGTGCATCTCCCTGGCAAGTCCTGCTTGGAAAAGATTCTCAAAATAATGAGGTTTTGGTCTTATGTCATAAGTCAGCTTATTCTTCTTTTGTCTTGCAGCTGCGCTTGGAAACCAAAGCTTGCAATGAGGAATAGGTAGCCGTGAGGAAGGAGGGGAAACAAAGCACCATCCCCACGTGCTCTTACAGCTCACTCACAGAGAAGCAAAGGAAAGACCTGGCCAAAGCAGCTCCATTTGTCATCCCAGCCTACCACTTCTGCCAGATCACGATGACAACTTAAATGCCTCTATGCAAATGCACATAGCATGGGGAATAAACAAGAGGAGTTAGAGACATGCACATGCCCGCAGGGCTGTGATCTTATTGGCACCATGGGGATGTGGTGGGATGGCTCCTATGATTGGAGTGTTGGAATGGAAGGATACAGACTCTTTAGGAAGGACAGGCAGAGGAGACGAGGAGGGGGTGTCACCATCTATGTCAATGTCCAGCTGGAGTGTATGGAGCTTCGCCTGGCGATGGATGAGGAGCCAACCGAGAGCCTATGGGTCAGGATTAAAGGGAGGGCAGGGACAGGTGACAATATAGCTGGGGTCTGCTACAGACCACCCGACCAGGAAGACTGAGCAGATGAGGCCCTCTATAGACAGAGAGGAGCAGCCTTACGTTCACAAGTCCTCATCCTCATGGGGGACTTCAACCACCCCGATATCTGTTGGAGGGACAACACAGCAGGGCATAAGGAATCCAGGAGGTTCCTGCAGTGCACTGTTGATAATTTACTTCTCCAAGTGATAGAGGAGACAACAAGGAGGGGCTGGTAGGGAATGTGAAGCTCAAGGGCAGCCTTGGCTGCAGTGACTATGAAATGGTGGAGTTCAAGATCCTTAGGGCAGCAAGGAGGGTGCACACCAAGCTTGCTACCCTGGATTTCAGGAGAACAGGCTTTGGCCTCTTCAGGGATCTACTTGGTGGAATACCATGGGATAAAGACCTGGAGGGAAGAGGGGCCCAAGAAAGCTGGTTAATATCCAAGGATCACCTTCTTCAGGCTCAGGAGCAATGCATCCCAACAAAGTGAAATTTGGGAAAAACACCAGGAGCTCCTCCTGAACAAGGAGTTCCTGGACAAACTCAAACACAAAGAGGAAGCCTACAGAGGGTGGAAGCAAGGACAGGTAGCCTTGGAGGAACACAGAGAAATTGTCCAAGCAGCCAGAGATCAGGTTTGGAAAGCCAAAGCCCTGATAGAATTAAATCTGGCCAGGGACATCAAGCACAAGAAGAAAAAGCTTCTGTAGGTATGCTGGCAATAAAAGGAAGACTAGGGAAAATGTGGGCCCTCTCCAGAAGGAAACGGGAGACCTGATTACCCAGGATATGGAGAAAGCTGAGGTACTCAATGACGTTTTTCCCCCCTTAGTCTTCACCAGCAAGTGCTCCAGCCATGCCACCCAAATGACGTTTTTCCCCCCTCAGTCTTCACCAGCAAGTGCTCCAGCCATGCCACCCAAGCCACAAAAGACAAAGGCAGGGACTGGGAGAATGAAGAACCACCTGCTGTAGGAGAAGATCAGGTTTGAGACCATCTAAGGAACCTGGAAGTGCACAAGTCCATGGGACCTGATGAGATTCATCCTCGCGTCCCAAGTGAATTGGTGGATGAAGTGGCTAAGGCACTATCCATCATATCAGAGAAGTCGTGGCAGTCCAGTGAAGTTCCCACTGACTGGAAAAGGCGAAACGTAACCCCCATTTTTAAAAAAGGAAGACCCAGGGAACTACAGGCCAGTCAGTCTCACCTCTGTGCCCGGTAACAGTTTTCAACTGAAAAAGGGTAGATTTAGATTAGATATAAGGAAGTTCTTCACTGTGAGGGTGGTGAGGCACTGGACCAGGTTGCCCAGAGAGGCTGTGGATGCCCCATCCCTGGAAGTGTTCAAGGCCAGGTTGGATAGGGCTTTGAGCAACCTGGTCTAGTGGAAGGTGTCCCTGCCCATGGCAGGCGGGTTGGAACTAGATGATCTTTAATGTCCCTTTCAGCCCAAACCATTCTGTGATTCTATGACATGCTAGGCTACTTCATTAGCCTACTCTGCATACTGTAACTGGGAAGAGCTATCTGTCACAGGCCAGTTGTACTGACCTTCTTATCAAATACTCCTGTCATTCTTCATATGCTGAGCTGGGCTGTCTCTCAGCTATGTTTTGTTTGGACAGCCGACGAGCACACACATGTGGTGGGGAGGGATTATGGTGACCGGACAGCCCTCTAACTTCTGGTAGATGAGAGAGAGGAGCAGCTGAATGGAATTTCGTTTCCATCTATTCCTGTGGCTTTTCCACTTCCCTGAAAGGAAAGATTGCACAGCCTGTCCACAACTTGATGTAAGGCCCATGATAAAAGCATCCAGCATGGAATTTTTTTTTTTAAATTTTTATAAAAGATTTTTCTTTACAGCTGAAATGTCCTTGTTTTAAGAAAGAGGTCACATGTATCAAATAAGCAGCATAGCAAAAAATATGAAGCTAGATGTCTACACAAATACATTTTTCCACTTTAAACCACATTTGCATTCTCCACCTATTTTTAATAATTTTAGTATATATTAAATTATACATTAACTAGCAATGTTGAAGTGCAGCAACAGTTACTGAATTGCCAACTCATTTTGGTATCTGGGGGCAGAGACAGGAAATTAGCCAGGGGACACAAGACCAACCTCAGCTGAGCAAGACAGCCATAATCTCTCTTAACCTCATAAAATATACCTGGTTTTGCCAACATTTTCCTCTACCTATAATATATCAGAGACATCCCTAAAGGAAGGAGAGCTGCCAGCACCCATGTGGAGACTTGAAGCTAGTTTTCTCCCACTCCTGACAAGCATGAAACCATACTCTACCAAGAAACTTCAGAGGTCTGTTCCCACTAGTGCAGGGACCTGCTGCACAAGTGAACGAGTAGCCATTTCATTTCTGCAGAAAACTGATGAAGTACCATAACAATATTACTTCATTTTCAAAAGCTTCTCACTACATACTGAAACACCTTTCTTCATGCAATATTTAAAACACGCTCTAATCTTTGTGAAATGCCAATAAGCCTGCTGAGAGGCCTAAACTCTTTCATAAGGTGAAAAGTGGTTCTAACTGTTTATCTGCTTCTCCTCTCTCTTCACTGTTATTTTACCTTTCCTTTCACCTTTTCTTTCTTTTTCTGTTTCTCCTTCACCTCATTCTTTGCTAAAATTTTCTTTCCTCACCAAACCCACAGATGAAATTCAAAGGTAGCTTGTTGCAGTCCCTTCTATTAACAAGGTTTGACTATGAGTGCAAAAGGTGGTTTCTACAAATATTCACATGAACTAAACCTTCATTTTCTATGTGTATTTATGTAAGCACATATAGAGCACTCAAATTATATTTTTTTCTGCAGTATCATAGTTACATTTCAAAAGCTAAGGAAACCCAAGAAGAATATATGAGATCATAAAAGATATTAAAAAACAATAATAAACTTAGGTAGCAATGCGGCAAGGGAAGAAAAAGGAGTACAAAAGACTCCCTTTAAGAAGCACAAACACAATTTATGAGAAATTATACTACATACTTACCTAACCAAAGTGAAAAATCTTGAGAATATTTTTTAAATGAAATAACATTTCTATGAAATGAAGACTATTTACTACAGTGGTAAGTGTAGAATTGAAGTGATTCTCAATTAACGTGATTAATCAAATGAGTACATGCTGGACTACTATATTTCTCCACCCAAACCAAATATAGGATTCTCTTCAAATATATCACCAAGCAGACAGCTTACAGTTAATTACTGTAATAATTACTGTTAATTAATAATTACTGTTGTGATTTCCAATGATTCCATGAATTTGCTTGCCTTAATAGAGATAAGGCTCCAGTCCTCAAACAAACCGAAAAAGCAGATACCCTTACTGTTTAATTCTGTAAATTATGCATATCAGGAACTTTATTAATGTTAGTAGCATCTCTGAGGCAAGAGGAATTTTCAATTTGACATTACTAACACAGAGGTTTTTACAATACACAGACCTCCAAAAGCTGTTATCTAATAGCACTTGCTAACCACTTTAATACTTTAACTTTCAAGTTTCCCAGGCATGGAACCAGGAACACAACACTGTGTACCTCAGTCTCATTCCTCTCCCCACAACTTGACAGGCTCCACGTTATTTGAAGTAACGTTTTTCCAAGAAGCCTAGCATGTCAGCTAGCATAGCTTCCTCCTCCTCTTAAAAGCAATGCTCCACTCAAAGACAAGCAAATAAACTGTCCCCTTAAACAGAATGTCTCTTCTCCCTTTGACCATATAAAGGATGCAATCCATCTTTGTCCGCCAAAAATCTAAAAAGCAAATCTGCTTTCCTATGTAGACCCCAGAGTTTAGGAACAAGCTGGCTGATAAAATGCAGATGGTTGGCTGCCAGCTTCTTCCTCAAGATCGCAAAAGTCTAAACGTGCTTGGCACTACTCTGTTTTCTCAGGATTTGTTTAAGTATGGAAAGAAAACAAAGACTCCTTTAAAACTACCAAATAAACAAAAAAATACTAGTGGCTTCCTATGCTGTTTAAAAAGGCTTTACCTAACATCACCTAATCCAAACTTCTTTGATGCACCTCCTCCTTGCCAGCATCCTTTTCTTGCCATTAATTTCCTTTGACTGCATTTGAGAATCTATGCCAAGCACACATACCAATTCATGCGTGAAAGTTTTAAAAGAGCTTTTCATTGATTTTTAGCCATTCCTCCTTATTACAGAAGTCATCACACACAGCCAGGAGTCAAAGAAATAGAAAAGGGTAGATTCAAATTGAGAACTACACAAGTAAGACATCAAGTTTTCTATTAAGCAGCAGTTTAGCATCTTGGAGCAAGCAGGGATTCGGCACTATGCAATTCCAACTTGTCCCTACCTATACAGTCAAAGGAAGGCTCATGGCTAGCAGTGAGATCCAGACATAAGTACAAACAAAAAAATTATTCTTTGACTCTAGGCAAAAAGAAATAGTTACTGTCTTAATTGGTAATTTCTCCTAGGAAACAGGTCTCCAAATAAAAAAGAAACCATGAAAATAAAAGCCTGATGTTCACTTAGCTGGCTGATTCCTGTGCTGACTTTATTTGTCCCTTATTTCTGACACAATTCTATAGTAATTTTAAAATTCAGTTAATTGAACAATTAGAATTATTTGCTCATCACCACCCCACCAGGACTTAATTCCCCTTTGACAGCTCACCTTCCCATATTACCTCTCAAGATGGCCTTCAACCAGTAACTTCAGGCTCAATGTTAAAATGCCTGGGACTTTTGAGCTTGGACCTCAGCTAGAGTGAACAGATGTCTAAAAAAAATGAACATTCAGTCAGGAAATACTGAACAAAAAAAATTCCTTCAATGCATTTCTTTTAACAAGCTTCTAAGTCCTTATAGAAAATTTGCTTGTTTTCCCAAAAGATCATACA